AAAAAAAAAACCAGTTTTGCAGATTTTAATGTAAGTCTTAATACTAGTCACTTTGAAATGGGATATTTATTAGTGATGTCTCTTTTGTTATTATATTCTTTTATAAAATAATAGTAGCTCACATATGTTGGGCACCTACTATGTACAAAGCCCTGTTCTAAGCACATTACTCATAGAATCTCTATAATCTTGAAGCAGGTAGTAATATTATCCTTGTTTTACAGACAATAAAACCAAGGCATAGAAAAGTAAGTAACAATTTCCTCAAGGTTATACTACTACTAAGTAATAGAGCTGAGATTCAAAATTTCTTAATCATTTCTGAAATTAGAGAAATGGGAAAAAAAAAAGAAGAAAAGGAAATACTCAAACCCATTGGCTCTCTATCCAGTATGTTTTCCTATGTGCTATTTTTGTAAACATCAATTATTACTACAGAATATATTAAATATAACTCAACACATTTGTTTTTCTCCTTTTTTACTATTATAAATGCTTCACTGAACATTTACTTTCTAATTACCTACTACATACCAGGGCCTGTTCTAGGAGCTGGAAATACATCAGTGAAGTGAACAAAACAGACCAAAATCCCTGTCCCTGTGGAGTTTATACTCTCTGGAGAGGAAGTAGGGAAGGCAACTAACAATAAATAAGTACATTATTATAGTATGTTAGAAGCTAGTAAATGTCGGGCGGGAAAATAGCAGAGTAAAGGGGTAATGGAGGACTGGCTTAGGACAAGAGAATCCAATTTAAATTGAGTGTAGACTTCATGCGGCAAATTGGTTTTTGGATGAGTAGGATTTGCATAGGTAGAGAGGAAAGCGGGAAGGAGGAATCATTCTAAATAGGTTGAACACAAGTAGCAAAACACCTCAAGTGTGAAAGCTCCAGATGTCTTCAGAGACCATCAAGAGTTTGGTATAGTTAAGGGATTCATGTTCAGGCACAGAGAAAAATACAGTCATCCCTTGGTATCTGTGGGGGATTGGTTCCAGGACACCCCAACCATGGATACCAAAAATGCACAGATACTCAAGTCCCTCATATACAATGGCATAGTATTTGCATATAACCTATGCACATCCTTCCATATACTTTAAATCATCTCTAGATTATTTATAGTAACCTAATACAATATAAATACTATGTAAATAGTTAAGCTGGATTTTTAATTTTTTTTTTTGTCTTTTGTCTTTTTTTCCGTGTCCGGCAACGGATCGCAACCCTCAG